ACCAAAGGTCATAATTGACTACAGTAAAACGATGGCAGATGTGGATCTGTAGACTAGCACCTGTCTAGTTATCAAGTAGCAAGAAACTGTGGTAAAAATATTATAAAAAAATATTCTTTCATCTATCAGACCAAGCTGTTTTCTATGTCTTTCAGGTTTATAAACACGAAGGAAGAAAAAAATTACATTTAAAGTTTAGAACGGATTTGATCTATGAAATAATTGATAAATATCATACTTTTTCCATTTTTAAACAAAGTGGTCCATTGAATGAAGCATCATCAAGTCGTTTATTTGAACGCCAATTTCTGGAACTTACACTACCGCCTAAGAATACACCATTTAAGAAGAATGTAAATGGAAAACGAATTAGAAGAGAAACGAGGTGTTATTACAATGACTGCAATGTAGAACTTTGCATACCATGTTTTAAACAATACTGTACCCAGGAAAATTATTAAATCTTTGAAAAACTGTTATACAGGATGATTATAATTAAAGCTCCACTTTGAAATGGTTATAACAGGAAAACTACTGGACCAAATATTATAGAACTTGCTAAATCGTGTAAAGAAGCTCATGGGAATTTATTCTCCGAAAAAAAAGGTGTTTAAAACCTCTCTACTAGGGTGGGGGAATGGCACTGTATGCAATATTGTTAAACGAAATAAGGGTCGTAATGTAACTTAACGCTTTCGTTACACGGGTTTAACATGTTGTATACCCTTAAGAAATGTTAACCTAAACAAAATGACTATTTAAGGCGTTAAAGACGATAACAATCGAGTGAACTATCAGTGTAACGGTAAAATCCGTCCGTGAAAGCCACAAATTAGCAATTAGAAAATGTGAGATCGCAAATCACTCGCAAAAGTGTGCGCAATCCGAAAATCGTTTTTTACAGATTGCTAATTTGTGATTTTTGAAGCCTGCATTCGGCCCTAAAACATGAAGATATCGATTTAAAACGTTTTTAATCGTTTCTGAAAGGAAACTGCTTGTGGGGTTATGTAAAATCCCATTGGCTTGTAATTGGTTTACGGCAGCTCTGTTTATGTTGATAATCTAAAGAATTTCGTGGAATTGAAAGATGCCATACATCGACATGTCCGTAACATTCCTTCTAATACGCTACAAGCTGCTGTTGAGAATGCAGTAATGCGATTTATATCGCTTTCGGAAAATGGTGGACGCCACATGGAACATGCTTTGTAACACGTTTCAGAAACAATTAAACACACTTTAAATAGATGTCTTAATGTCTTATTCTGTTTATCCATATTCCGTACAGTGCCATTTTCCCCTGGTGGTGAGTTTTTGAACTTTTCTTTTCACGGAAAGTAAATTCTAATGACATCCTTTACACGATTACCAAGTTTGATAACATTTAGTCCAGTTGTTTTATTTTATGACCAGTTCAAAATGGAACTTTAATTATAACCACTCTGTAGCTATAATTAATATTGAAAGACAACATCATCGTAATGCAGATAATAGTGTAAATTATTTAAAGCTTATACAGTTTTCTGTCTCAAACTTTACATATATTTCTTGAGCTTGGGTGTGCAAGGAAAGCTAAATGGAAATAAAATAAGATAATTAAATAATATACATATATGTGTGTGTGTGTGTGTTTAAAAAGCGTTAAATTTAAGGGAAAATATAGTATTTTTATAGAAATCGTTTTAGAGCTTATAAAAATAAAACTTCAATAAATCATTCTGGTGATTTTGCAAAATTTTTTCAAAAATGTGCGACGAGTAAGGGGTTAAATAAAACATAGCCAATTTAGGATTTTAACGTCATTTTCAGTGTTTTTTAACTTAAGCGGTACTCTATTTGCGAATTAAATTGTCATTTTAAAATGATGATTCAGAATTATACATGGGATGGAAGAGAGATTGGCTTCTTCCAAATCTGAGAGTGATTGAGACTCATTTGGATTCACTCAGATTCCAAATGAATGATTTAGTTAAGAAAGGACATGGAAGAGCATGAATAGTATTTGGAAACCAATAAAATATCATTGAATATTCTCATGAAACGAAGCAAATAGTTGTCAAAGTAATGGTTTTTTTTTCTCATTTTTCTTGTATTTATTTATTTTAATTAAGGTGCTTTCAATATCAGTGAAATATTACTAGATGATATCAGTTGAAATATTTGAAATTTAGCTAGTTTAGGTAAACCATATCATAAAGTGAGTGAGTAAAATCTTTGTTTTATATACAGCATAAGATGAGACATTTAGAGCAAAAACTAGAAATAAGGAGAACGTATTTTTGGTGTCTTCAAATGAGACGAAAATTTAATTTTTTGAAAATAGTTCTCTTTTTGCTTCAAAACAACGATAGATTCTGTATCTATGAAAGCTTGAGGCATATACCTTAGATGTGATTTTTACCTATGATATAATGGTAAATTTGTTTGAGTTTTTAAAATAGCTTTAGCGTAATATAAACGTTTCTTAAGCTTTAAATAATGCGTAATTAATTTCAAATTAATTTGTAGATCAAGTATATTCTTCTTTCAGTTTTTTATGATCATTTCACGAAACTTTCAGAGAAGCTGTGATAGTTTTATTTGGAATAAACTGGCTAGAAATAAGTGAGGTAAAGGAACTGTTTTGCCTTAGAAAGGATACACGTATTTAATTATTTTTCCTTCTCTTTTTTCCATTGGCATAACAACCGGTCAGCTGAATAAAGTACTCCTCAGCACAGTCGGTCTACGAAGTAACTATATATATGAATACAACGGGAAATGAAGAAAATTCTAGCCTTCTTATGACATCTGTTCATTTAAAAGACGAAACTGTATTTTGTCTTTTATGCTGGAATTACAGAGAAAATTTTCTTTCTTCCGAGTCTTGAAGTAATATTTTAGGAAAGTTGTTATATACATCACTTTCTTCACGCATTTATAGCTTGCTGACTAAAGTAAGTGTTGTAAAAACTAAAATATACTATTGAGTAAAGTTGAACAGACTCAAATAAAAGCTGTCAGAATACTGAGTCAATCGAAACTTTGCTTGAAATTCTGCTTACCTAGTAACTTAAATTTCTTCAAAATTTAGCTCAATGGGACAGTAAATAGAATCCCTTTGGAGCTAATATTGCAGAAAAGGGTTCCCAGTCGCTTCCTGCCATGCATCTGAACGGCTAAGAAAACAAAACTACATCACAACACTATATTCAACGTTTTGGTATTTGAGTAAAATGTTGCGACAGGAAATTCATCCTTCAAACTGTTTGAGCAAAAGAGCTTTACTAGGCAGAATTGCTTGATGCATTTTGTAGCCTGCAATATGATATAACGTTTAGAAAGTGAATGATAGATCTAAAAGTGCATAGCCAAACTGTCTTTTCTGTATGGGAAATATTACAGTTTTCGCACAGATTGTTACAAATTTGATTAAATAAACAGACTATTTCTTTATTCTTTTGTAGATGGCTTATTGTGATCACTTACCCTTAATATCTAGTTTATGTGTAATGGTAGTATTGATTATTTAACTGGGTAGTATTGATTATTTAACTTGGTAGTAATGATTGGTAGTATTCATTTGGTAGTACTGATTATTTAACTTGGTAGTATTGATTGGTAGTATTGATTATTTATGTTCCTATTCCTGTTGTAAGAATCGAAAGTTGTCTGTCAACAGCGTACTTTCTTGAGTAAGTTTTAAAATTCTTCTCCTTCTATCTATAACTGCCACTGTATTAATTCTCTAATTTGCATATTCTAAACAATGCAAAAGGTTGAGGATTTTCTGGTTAAGAATGCAGTGCATAAGATGTCTGTGACAAAAACGTTTTTACGGCATTAACATCCTTAACACGCTAATTATACAAGAGAATCACCCAGTGGATGTAAATTCTAGTGCACCTCAAAATAAAAAGACAAATATGAAGTGATATAATTAGCCAAAACAGAGCATAGCCATATAATAAATTTACGAAAGTTTATGTGAAAACGATAATTTTACTGATTTCTAGCTAAGGAAACAAGTATTATATTTGAAGGCTGTTTATAAAACTCGTATTAAATGTATCAATTCTCATAGGTTTATCTTTTTAGATTAACTAATTTGAAGATTAATTTAATTGTTTACGTAACATAAGAACTGGTATTTGAATTCCATGCACCAAAAAGAATTATACACTTCTGAATTTCCTAAATCGTCGATAACAATAATACGTTTTTGATTTTATAAAATAGTTATTTTAAACTACACTACTGAATTAATTAGATAAAAGAAAATGTTTCTGCTGAACATACATTATTCTATATATAGGATGAGTGTGTAAACATATTTAATATACCAAAATAGGAATCACTTTGTTTTCTCAGATGCGAATTGTATGAACTTTTAAAATTGCGCATTTAAAATAACGTAAGAAAAGCTCTACATTCCTGTTCAAGCAAACATTGTTCTACATTGTTCCTACGAATTCCTGTTTACAAATTTCTGCAATGAAATGCATTTTCTGAAATATTTAATCAAATCAACTATACATATAATAGCGAAATATTTGTTTGCTTAAGGAAATGTAAATTTTGAAGGACTTTTGCTTTGTTGTTTTAGATGAAACGAACTGGAATAGGAAGAACTTTCCGGGTAAAAGTTTATGTTTTACGAAATATTTTTAAAGACAACACACTATTTACATTAACGACTTATCTCTTTGTAAGCATATGCACATTGTAAAATTTCAAATAACATACGAATAATAGTTAAGAACGAAGCTACCGTTCCAGGAAACGTAAATTATTTATTTTAATAAAGTTTCGCAATATTTTAGGATGTTTGTGTTGTTTGTATGATTTAACAAAATGCTAAACAGAATTTTAAGACAACGCTGTTAAGATTCAGGAATTCGAAATTAATGTATTGTTAAAATTTTTTCCAATTTTGTACTTTTCCTTCTTGGCGTTTTGCATTTGGAATATAGTTACATTTTATCAAACCGTTTAATTAATCAAAAATACAATTCCCTTTTCTGCAAATATTTATTACGTACTACACGGACTAACACGTGTACATTACAAACTTCCATACAACAATCGAAACGTGAGGTTATATTACATAAACAGTCCCCACTGAGTGTACTTTCAACAAACACGTATATATAGATATATATATCTGAAACAACACTTAAATTTATAAACCACCTTTGAACATTAACGCTGTCCTTCTTCCTGAACATATTTCGACGACAAACACCGATTCTATGACAGAGGATAGGCACGACTTGTTCCGCACACTTAAATATCACAGACTGGATTAGAAAGTTTTACATTTATGGAGTATTCCATCGTCATCCAAGAGGAAGCTTGGATCTGGCGAAATCCGACATCCTGATGACGGCTACAAAGTAGAGGAGAAAGCGCAGAATCCAGTGGACGGAACAAAGTTTTGAGGAGTGATTTTGGACTGAAAATTAAAAAAAAACTTTCAATGTTAATCTGCAAGATAAGTTACATTTTATACGAATATACATTGAATTTCTAATATGGTTCTTTTAGCGAAACCATTTTTACTTCCTTGGATGAGGTAAAGGAAGTATTGTAATCACTAAAAATTTCGGGTATCATATTTAATGAAAATATCAATTTTGATCGCTCTCGAATCCGTTTAAATGATTGTTTTGCGTGACATCTGTTTGACAGGCAGAGAAAATACTATTTTTTCCAAAACGGCTTGGATTTAAAATGTACTCAGAAGAGGTTTTTTTTTTTCAAACGTACAGACGTCATGAATGTACGCATATATCTCACATTATTCATAAACGATTACCCGTAGAACGTTGCAATTTTGTATATAGGATTGCTATGACATGCAGTTGTGTCACATCCCTTTATTGTTGCCAATCGGTTGCACCAAATATGTATTTATGCACACACACACTCTTTTACCCGCTTTGTTGAGTTCTGTGTTTTTATTCTTACATGTTGGTAAATTGTGCATTTTTTGATTTAAAAGTTATTGAATTATGTTGTTCTTATGTTTTAGTTAAAGATTTTGCCTTTAGTTAATGTGCACGCAATTAACTAAAGGCTATTAAAAGTTGTAGAATTATCAGAAATTTAAAAGTTTAAATGGCACTGGTCCTAACGAAGCCGCCATTTGTTTGCATTTGTAACTCTTGGTAGAGTAATGAATTAAGTCACCGAGTGTACCAGTGTCCTTTTTCCCCAGTGGGGTCAAAAGTTATGTTTCAGTTTTGTTCACCGAAAATTTTAGCGTCAAGACATTTAACTGTTTTTAATAGTATTTTGTGTTTTAAGTTTTTCTGTATTTTACAACATTTAATGAAGATGCTTTGAGTTCTTACGTATTTTTGTCTTGCCGCGAAGTGAGAATTGAATAAAAAACAGAAATATATCTCTAATGAAATTCGAAATAAGTTTAAATGAAATGTAGCAAAAAATATGCGTAATTTAATAGGCCGTACAAGGAAGTCATGTAACGTCCTCATCAGCTTGTAGGGTTTATATTTATTTTAACTAACATTTATTTTAAGTTTAAGCTATCTTTCCTGTCAAGCCTACTTTCCCCTGGAATTGCCAATGCCAGAGTATGTGAATGTTAGTAGAACGCGCAAAGTATTCAAATTGTCAGCGGAAGTAATTTGAGTTAAATAGAAGGGAAACGAGTTCGAAACTGTGCTTTCTTGCTTCACGAGCGTGAAGGTTGCTAGGTAGAAATTTAAGAACCGCGCGTTTCGGCCTGTGTGCTTGCTTCGACAGTTTCAACTTTTTATTCAGAAAGTTTGCTGAAATCTCAGCTGTATCTCAAAACGCGGGTTAAGTTAGTCATGTCTAGAGAAGTCATGTCACTCGTAGGTAGTGACTTGTTAGTTATTCATTTTTAGTTGTACTTTTCGATTTTTAGTTAACCGCCAGGTCGGTGTAGTTTGTGAGCGTCAATTGAACGCATCTGTAACTTTTAAAGTGGAATAAAAAGGGAGTTAAACCCTTCTCAAGAGTTTGTGTAATTCCAATTCATAGCAGTCACTACTATTGTTGCGGGAAAGTTGGGGCCACGCTACATCACAAGCTTTTTAATGTAGCTATTTGAGTGTTTTTTGAAACTGTTTCATAAACAGCATTAGTGTGGGTTTCTTTGAAAGCCTTGGATTGAGAAAATAATTTATTAAATATATTACATTTGAAATCCACCAGCATGGAACTGTTAGCTACATGTTCTTGAGATTATGAAATTGTGGTTAGTCATATGTTGTAGAGATTTCTCATGGGCAATAATTATGATTAATAATTTCATATGATGTCATTTCTAGAATTTTATTGATTCCACCAAATTTTAAATAAGTTTCCTTCTCTGAAAGTTGTTTTCTAAAAGTGTTTTTTAATGCATATTGCCAACTAGCAATGCTGAAACTTAGGAAGTTATAACATCTTAATCACGTTTCCGTGTAATATTATTATATGTCCGTGCTACTCTTTTTTTAACAGAATACAATTTTAGTTCTTTTAATTAAGAAAATTAAATTTATGTTGTGTTACTCTAGTAACATGGTTATACTTAATTGGAAATGATATGTTGCTCATTTCTTCGTTATCTAGCATATGGCACATCTACCGACTGTTGGGAAGTCAAATTGGTTGTAGTCCTTAAGCTTAATGATTAAGCAATTATTAATATTGATTCCCAATATTTTACTTGAATAGAATTTATAACTTACGTATGACGGGCGATGTTAATTATATTCTCAAAATTAAAGACGAGTATAAAGAAAAATAATTCACATACAGAGGTTTTTTCGAGAAGCTGGTCACAGTCTTTATTTCTTTAAATATTTATCTCAGATTTGCATTTCCTAAATGCAAAATTTATGCAGGTATTAATGAATGAATTTATTAAAGTAAATCCCTTTTTAATAAAGTTACTAAGTGATTCCGAACAAAGTCTCATCTTGTTGGGGGAAAATGCCTTGTTTTAACGATCAATGGTTTATTTTTGGATAAAATAAAACCTATCAACACTTCGGTTGGCCATATGAAAATATACATTACGAATAGCTCCGTGAATTTCGCACAACACTGAGACACTCAGACGGCCGCTAATTACTCTAACTATGACTGGAATGAAGGCTAGTGAATAGCAGAACTTTGACCATAATGAAGGTTAAATTCTTTGTTTAAAAGGTTGAAAAATTTTGCCCTTTGAGAGACAATTTTTATATTGATTGTCTCAATATAACCTGGATAGTGATTAGCGATGCTGACTGCCGTACCGACGAGCCCGAATTCGAATCCCTGAGAAGGCATGGATGTTTGTATATGTATAATGTCTATGCGGCATGGGGCACTTTAAATATGCGGCCAGCGGAAAGTCCTCACGACAGGTTATGGTAGGAAAAGAGGAGAGCAAGACTCTCTGATCCCTTCGGGTGTGGGTGTCACTCCTTCAAAAGTGGGGGTGGAACTGAGTAAATTCGTATTGTTACTTGTATGGTGCTCAAGGCTGTTGCCAACGGCAGTGCAGTCTTGCTCTCCTTGCCACAAGGAATTTCTCTATAGTCACTGTCAGACAAGTGAGATAAGCCACAATACATCAATTAATATGACCTACATGATGTATTCTGGAGATTACATAAAATGTTAAATTTTGCAGTTATGGAACCCTGCTACTTCTAGTTTTGAAACATCTCCCATAAAATTATTTTTCCTTTTTTTTATAAACTTTGAGAATAGTAAGTACAAGTCTAGGATCAACATTTAAAGAAATATATACTATGCACATTTTACAAAGATTGTTAGCTTGTGGTCACTGATAATAAAAACATAAATCCAAACGTTTTCATGATCACTAAATATATTTCTTTTCTGCACCTAAATGAAATAAGCATTAGTGGTAACTCCATTTGAAAGGGTATCTTGACGTGCTGCATGCTTGACGACATGCTTCAACTTAAGCTGAAAAATGAAATGTAAAAGATTTCACTTTTTTGTTCAATTTTTTTTTCGGGATAACAAGAAAAAGCAACTAAAATCCCTTTCTTTCTTTATTGTGTAAACAACGCAAAGCTCTGGATCTAGAAAGGGGGGATCGTAAACATGAAACTATCTCATTAAATTCCTCATCGGTATTCGCGAGGAAAGGATTCTTGCTGCTGCGATCGAGATTCTAAATCATTAGCTAGCGGCGTTAAATGCCACTTTTATGAGTCTCAGTCCTTCCCCCTTGCCCGCCCCCTGTCACGGGAGAGAGGAATCGGGGTGGAAAATGTTCGTGTGCTTCACTAATGCACCTCCGAGGGTCGTAACGTGGATTCGGATTTGCAATGCGCAAAGGACAAGGACGAAGGTAGTCCTCATTTTGTTCTTTTCGACTACAAGATGGATGATCATTGTACCTCAGATTATTTAAGTTGCAGTGTAAATTCTGACAGTATTAAATAAGCATCTGTAGAACCATTGTCAAAGTATGTAAAGCATTATTTTTTATGGACGTTTTATGAGAGATAGATGTTAATTTAACTTTATATGATAAAAGATCTAGCATATAATGTGAGAACACTGTAGTGTTCCCTCTGAAGTTTTGCCGGTCTAGCTGTGCATGTGTATGCAACATAAATGATTTAGTTTAAGTTTTATACATTATTTTAGATTTTATTTTATTATTAACCAGTATCATAGTCCTTAGTATGAAAATGTCAGGCTTATTTGTAGTTTCCAATCGTTCATTTTATTACTAATCAGTTTTTATAGTTCTCAGTATAAAAATACAACGTTTTATAGTTTCTGATTACTTACGTATCTTCTATTAATCTGATATATGCTTCAAAAGATAATACAAAATACTAGCGAACTACCAAATGTAAAGACAACGGACTTTAATAGCAGAGTAAGCTCAGCTGAGGGCCAACCTGCCTGGGACTGATTTCAGTAGTGTTGCTAAGCTACAATTAAATTTTTTATTGCCTTTTGGAGAAAGATTAAGTTAGAGGTTGTTCCCAGGCTTTCGTGTATTTAGATATATGAACTCTCGAAATCTATACTATTATTACACTACCAAGAATCTTTCTACTTTTATGATGGTTTTGAGTTTTTATCTATTTTTGTGTTATTTAGTTTTTATAATTGTCTAATAAGAAACTAAAAAGCGACAAATTGACAAATTCAGTGATTTATTAATTACACTTGTGTTGTATATTAGGCAGTTTTGAAGCAAGAAACATAATAATCATAATAATGCCCTCCCCGGGATTTGAAGATCTTCCGCTTGCTAGCTGGATAAGCTGCCACTTATACAACGAAGGCATACTATGAAGAAGGACAAATTCCTTACAGTCTTCCCCAATAAAAGAGCGACAGGAGAGGGAAGGCGAACCAGTCCCCTAATTCAGGTGATGAAGAATTATTGTCCAATATATCTTAATGGTACGCCACTGTAGAATTTTTCGAAATTTTTATAGCATACAAATGGCGGACAATCAGTGATATCCTCACAAGGACTCAAAATCTGGATCTTCTGGATGCTAAGCTTAAGTTTTACTACTTAAACCACAAAAGCCCACAGTGAAAGAGGTAAATCTTCTTTACCCTCTGTAAGGTGCTAATTGCTATTCAGCTATCTAGAATAAGTAAAAATAGATATTTGGAAAAGTTGAGAGCTTGCTAAACATGATCAAATGGATTTGCCATCACAGTAGTGTATCAGTGTTTGCTTGTTTGTATACTTTATAGTTAAGATATGAGGACAACTATGAATCACTTTTAAAATAAAGAAAAATTTCGATTAATATCGTCTGCAATTATAGAGGCATTTCGGCGGGGGTCTTACAGTAATATTTCCTCTTGAAATAGGAAAAATTTTCTTGTACTCTTTTTCCAGAAATTCATAATTTAAACTGAAGAAAATTTAAAATGTTTTAACTTAAGAAATAAGTCGAAAATTATACTAATATTGTTTTACTTATCATCATTTTCGGGCGTGTATTCTGTTAAATTTTAAGGTCATTGATATCAGGGTTTTAGGTTAAGCGTTGAGAGAAAGACTTGGGGGCCTCTCCAGCTTAGATTTAACCAATAATACCCTGTGAGATGGAATCGGAGATTTTTGCGCACCTCTCCTATTTTCATCAAACTCTTGATATTGTTTTTGCTTGAAAGGCTTGCCTTATTGTTGCAACGATATTTTGCGTTTACAAACATCTCTGCCTTCCTCGGTATTTGAATTCCAACAAGCTATTTTCAGCTGGCTTTGCTAAACACAATAACAACTGGATCGACAAATATGCTAAAAAATATAATGTTAAATTACTGAAGTTAATTTTTTAATATTAAATTATATATACAGGGTTTCCCTAAATATTATGACAAACTTCTAGGGGAGGTAGGACACATCATACAAATTAGGAATTGCATAGGAACCCATGCCCGGAAATGTCAGAGGTAAGTGATAGCAGAGTTAGAAGATGTTAAAGGAAATAAGAGAGTGATTAATTTGAAGCTTTTTTGGGGATGAATACAAATAGTGTACGAGAGCTTGAATGATACAAAAGATGCTGGAAGTTTGCACCATCAGACATTAAACATACCTGACACCGACGGACCATTAATTGCCCCACATGTTCAAACACAACGGGAGTTTCTTTGATTGTAGCAGCTGCGCAGGAGTGTCTTGCCAAGAGATCCATTTCAGACACAACAGAACCGTAATACACGACACTTTTGATGGCGTCTCACAAAAAGAAATCAAGCTCAATAAATCCGCTGAGCGTGAGGGCCAGGGAACCGGTCCACCACGCCCAGTCCTTCGATGCGAGAATGATCTAGTCAAATGGCTACGAACATCCAGCCCAAAATGAGCAGGCGCTACATCATGTTGGAGCCGCATGTTCACAAGTTGATCGTTCGTATAGCGTTCCATGCTGTTCGTGTGTGCCTACCGTTCGAATGAGGATATCCTCACTGTCCCCTAGCACTCTCCTTACATCATACCTTGGCGGCGTACAGTGACGTTGCTGGACAGGGGTTCTTATACAATTCTTAATCCTTATGATGTGCCTTATGTCCTTCAGAAGTTTGTCGCAACATTTATGGGACACCCTGTACATAATTTATTATTTAAGATCTTAACTTCAATAATTATATAGACATATCTATATCTATATATCTATATCTGTCTATATATGTCAAGAGATTATTTTTCAGAAAAAATTCTAATTATTTAACGGGAAGTTTATTCTTTTACATTTGGAAGATGATAGTATGCTACTTAATAATTACGTAAAGCATCCTTTAATATACATACTTCAAATGAATACATTTAAAGTGGTGACTACTTCTATTTTGGATTTTAAGAGAGCTATTTTAAGCAGAGTTTCACATAATGCTTTGAGTTTTTGAAAAAGACATATGCACATCTCTTTTGTACAAAATATATAAATATATTATATAATATAAACCACAAGTCGCTCACGTTATATTTCCAAAACTGATAACAATGACAAGTTGTTTCAATGGATGATATCCCTATACTCTTACAAGTAGTGCATCACTTGAAATTGTAAAACTGTTTATTTGGTGAAAGATGAAGATGAGCTCTTCCAAAGGATTTTAAGGTTTAGTTGCTACATGGATGTTTCCTAGTTTTACGTAATGAGAGTTTCCTGTAAAATTCTGCATCTTAATAGTCGAGTATAAGTTCTAGTAGATTTATACCTCTTCAAATAAGAAATCTTCGAACCGTTACAGTTATGAACATATATTAGCGATTCTTACATTACAAATAAATTGCAGAGCGGTGTTCTGTTCTCGAACCAACAAAACTTTAAAATTACCTTTAAACATATAAGATTCTTCTAGCTTAATAAATATTTAGTTATTCATTCATTTACGTTTTTCATTTACCAACAAAACTTTAAAATTACCTTTAAACATATAAGATTCTAGCTGGCTTAATAAATATTTAGTTATTCATTCATTTACGTTTTTCATTTAAGAAATCTCAATACAGTTATGTGAAATATATAACTACATTATGTATGATGGTTGAAGGGTTCTCAATGGAGTAAATACAACAGAAAGAATGAAGACAAGAACTTTTAATGCAGGAAGTAGATTCTTTAATAGCTATGTAAAGTGAATTAAATTTTTATTTAGCCAAAGACATGAATTTTCTTTTCTTGTTATTGAATCATTAGAAGTGGGGAATATTTGCAACAGAACAATATATTAATGAGCAAGAAATATTATAGTGTACTTTCATGATGAACAACTACACTATATTCTTTTTAAGAGAATTTAGCATCCTCTAGGAAAACCAGTTTGTGCTCAAAGTATTGGGATATAATATGTTAAAAATAGTAGTCTTTTTTGTGTTTTGGAACATCAGGTAGGTTTAAAGTAATTTGTGGAATGTTCTTCGCAGCGTTAATGTTAACAGGCTACTGTAGTAGCAGATCCTTGAGTATTGTTTATAACTGAAGTGTATACAGTTGATTGTTCTAATCTACCATGAAAATACTACTATTGATGAACTGTTTTGCAGCTTTCTACTGTCTGACATCGCAAACACAGTATTAGATTAAAAAAGAATTACTTTTTGTATTTCAAAGATTTCAAATATTTGACAATTTGAATTATCAACTCATACTCAGCCATGGTCCAGATCCTAGAGAGTTAAGAATATATTACTCATTAAAATGTAAAACACTTAATTTAACATATTTAATTTTACAATTAAAATAATTACTTCAATATAAATAAATCAAGAACTCACCGTGGCTCATATTTTCCGTAATGTGCAGACCCGATGTCTGCTGTCTGAGTCCTGTGCCAAATACAAGCTCCTCATTGCTCATCGTGTAGATTCGAGAAATGGTTGCCGTACACTTAAGCTTCATATTGCCACCTCTGAAGTGATGCTCATTTACAATGAATTTTAGGTTCAAACTCGACGTCTCCAGACCGTCTGCATGCAAGGTTGTCGAATGTTCTAGTTCATTCTCGGGACTGGCCTAATAAGCAAGCAATATTTACAAATGAAATCAAACAGATTCAAAGTATTACTTGTTTTAAAGTAAATTAATGAAATAAATAAACATATAAACGGTATGTCAATTTTACAAAATGCAAAGATTATGATAAACATTATTTAGAAAATATGTCGGAAGTTATTGTCATCATTATGAAAATGTTATAATTTACTAGTAGAAAATGAGATTTTAATGTTTATTTAAAATTATAAATTTTAACTGCATCAAGAATGCATATAAAATATTTTAAATAACAGAATATAATATAAAAATTATTAGTTAATGGAACTAAGCAACATCTTTACATTGCAGTTCATTTTACAAAACATTACATTTTAGAAGTTCGTACGATTTTTATGGATCATTTTGTTTTCATCCAATTGTTATGACGAATGAAATTTTAAATAACCAATGAAATTTAAAGCAAGTTTCTCAAACATGACCCCAGGTTTGTTCTATAAATTGCGCAGATGCGACCTGCGTTATATAGTAGAAATACAGAGCTAAACTATTATAACATGGAACTGACAGATGTTCTTTAATGCGAATGATTGCTCATTTACAGGAACCATGTACGCTTCTTTAACGCAGAAAACAACTCATAAATGATATTTCAAAGACGGCTTTAATAAATTTACTTGAAACTACGGCAATTTTAAGGAGCAACAAATAGATTTATTTTGAAAGTCTGTCTATATGAAGTGTAAAATGTGAAAACATGGCACTCAGATTGTCCTCTTCGTCCTCTTCGGAAAAATCAAGACACTTCATGAATACATCTAACATCTCTGAAAGTGCTAACTGTATTTTAGCGTATTAGCTACTTCCTTCTCAGTGACAAATTGTTCACAAATTTGCGACTAGAATGTACTCACTTGCAATCACATACGAAATATTAAGAAAAATGTTTCATTGGAACTTAAGTTTTACTTCTTTAAAGAAAAGTTCCCATAGTTTACAAGGATTTTGCGTTTGCGGCGTCTCCTTTTAGAAATTAATTACATTTATAGCTGTTATTTTCTAGTATGACACATATAGGATGCAAAGGAAGAACAAAAATTCCTGGAGCCAGCTTATATTAGCTCTTTTGAATAGCCATTACGTATACTAGGTTTGTATCTACGGGAGAACATTTAAGAAGCAGCTATTAAAGCTCTTGTAATAGATTTTGCAGCTAAAAGTACAAAATCTGCAGAAGATATTTATTTTATCATGTCTGAAAGATCTACTGAGTACAATACACATATCTTCACCTTACGTACTTCTGCGAAAAAAAAAATAACGTTATGTAAAACGAAAATGTGATATAAAGTTAGGAAAGGATAAATTGGTCTTTTTAGAGATGACTAAAAGTGTACGGTCGCTTCTGCCTAAAATGCTAGCTTTACAGCCATTTTCCATGTCGTGTATTAAATTGTTCAATAGAACTTGCAGTATTAATGATTCGTGTATTAAATTGTTCAATAGTACTTGCAGTAATAATTGTTCAATAGTACTTCATTCACAATGAATAACGCCTTTAGTAGTGCTAATGATTCTTCATACGTGGTCTACAGAATTTAAAGCCTAAGAATATGCGAGTCACTCTATCCGCTGGATTTTTTTGTACTCAAGTCTGTCACAAGTGCATCAAAGTAGGGACAAGATTATCCTTAAGTAGGAAAAAGGTGTTATCAATTGCATCCTAAACAAGTTGACATAAGGATTTAAAAATCACATGTGTATGCGTTTCAGCATTCATAGCTATATAGCATATTCATAGCATATTTTTTGAATATTCGATTTTAATATTTTCTATTTCTGAAAAGTGTTATGATAATTCTCCTGGATTTTTAATTCCCCATGTGATCTTTAACTGTAATTTCATATTTCCTTTCCTTCATAATAAAATACTCAGTTCTTCAACTTACTCAGCCGTTTTATTACACATATTATAAATAGTACTTTTGTTATAATATATTTATGTTAAATTATAATATAATTTCTCTTATACTATGTATTTTTATTTATTACATAATATTTTAATATGTGTTTACTTTTACTCCATTATTTATGATCGTGTATGACAAAAGTAATTGTCTAAATAATCCAGTTTTTTTCCTTGCATTGCTTAGATAAGCGGACCAAGCATATAAAGGACAATTCATTGATATGTTATTGATATTTCCCATACAGGTGTCATAAAATTCACTTCTTTCTTTCATATTTAAATTGATGAAGTCATATCTGACTGTTTTAAATAGATTGTGTCTCTGTTCTATAATTAATATCTATTTTAAAATCAGTTTCAATATTTCAAAGATTTACACAATGTAGTGTCTGAGTCCTTATTTTAGCTAATTATATGTTATATAAAAACAAAGAAAAATTCTCATTACTCTTATTTTATGCTATATTATTCACATATGAATCATTACATACAAAACTTTTTAAGGGGAAAAAGTACGTTTCTTTTATTACATTTTAATATGAACCATCTGTATCGAATAAGTTGAATTTTCGAAGGTGGAAATGCTGAAAAAATAGTGCAATAAAAATATCGCACAAAGTTCATAGTTAAGCTACTTACAAACTTAGTTGCGTAGCTATATAATTGCTACTCTTAGCGCAGGAAACAATTCTCGACAAAATAATTCAAGTTAAAATTCTTTTTTATTCATTACAATCATTATTCAAAAACTTGCGTTGCTCAAATACCGGATGGTGACTCAGCACTGAGTCACGAAATAAACGCCGGGTCATAGGTAAACTTAACCAAATAACTAATTTTACATATTACAATTACATGAGACTACATTATAGTTTATCAATAGATGACGCCAGATTTGGTAATTTAATGTCTTCATAGATGATATATGATACTGAAAATTAATTTATTTTTTATTTTAATTCATGTTTCAATGTTATCTGCGACGCCACCAGAACTTGTTTAGGTTTGACTGGAGTACGATAGCAAAACCAACCAATACTTTTACCTGAGAGCGATGACACCGAGTCTAGATTGCTAGGGTCTACTGCAAAATGTTTTTATAGTTTACTAGTAATGTTTTATAATATCTAATTATCAATGTATAAATCATTAATAAAAACAAGAAAAATCAGTGTTTCAGTTATAACAAACAAATTGCAATGTGGTTTTTAAACAGAAACAATTTTTGTACACCACATTAACATAAGTGATGTTAGTCAATGCCAATTTAATGTGTTTAGAGAATGGTACTAATAAACGCCTGCGAGGTGCTGTTCATTAGACATACAAAAAGGAAAAAAACATCCTGAAATTCTGCTCTATTTTGTGAAGTTATATAAAATTTGATGTCATGAAAGGTGCTGATAAAACGGCATTATATGTTATTTGTTATATGGCCTTAACAATTAGTATTTGAGAGGTTCAATATTGAAGCGGAACTTAAATTAAAGCATTCGAACTTCGGTATAAATGGATAGATTTCTCTATATATTAGAAGAAAGAATTAGTAATTAGCAAACGGACTGGATCTTCGATTTTTTTTCTCCTCAGAGAGTTTTGTCTGAAGATTTAGTTATAACTTCTTATGAAATACCTCATCTAATTGCTAAAACTAGATATCCTGAAGTAGTTCCGAAAAAAAATTGAAATTCCTGTAATGAGAATGTTAGCACCTCATGTTCCTATAATGAAATGTTGGCTTAGATAAAAAACAGAAAAGCTAAATAAATATGTATCGCTCCAATATCATAGTGAAACGTAAAATCGTCGTAATAGCAGATAAAATCGAAGAAACTGTCGTAAATCACTTAAAACAGCACAATTGAGTTTCTTTTTCCATTTATAAAAGGGCAGACATATCAAGCAACGCCAGGTTAATGTGTTTTATGAGATATGGTCTGGAGAATCAGTAGAAATGACATTGACTGGAAGACTATATAGGACTGAGCAGAGGTTTTTCTCACGTGATGGCATCTGGGCTGGGCCTTTTCAGAATTAAAGACCATAACATCAGAATGTGTGCGGTTGCATTGCAACGTACATAGAAAAGCTTTGGCCGTATAAAATATTATTGCTTTAGCAAACTGATAGAATAGACTGTAGAAAATTTATAAAACATAGTCCTTTGAATTTCAGGTTATTTAGTGCATTATGTAAAGATATGGGAAGAGACCCCGACCATCTTGTTTTACATTACAAAATACGATGCTTATCCAGAGGGAATGTTTTAGAGAGACTTTTGGAGACTAGAGAATTTTTAATGATTTCATACCAATATCCCCCAATGGCTAAAGATGCAATAATTGAGTTTAAAGATAATTTTAGTGCCGTTAATTGGTTGTAAAAGCTAGCTTACTTTGTGACATTTCTTATATTTAAGTAAATTATATCTTTCTTTGTAAGACAGCAATATAACTGTATTTAATGTGCAAGAAAAGATGGAACCCGCAATGAAAAAGCTCAATTTATGGATCCCTCGTGTGGAATCAGGAAATTATAGTGCTTTAATGAAGCTAACTGAAGTGGAAAAATGATATTGCATTCAAGTCTGAAAGAATGTTTCATCTAGTTCATAACGATAGGTCCACCAGCGGCCGAGCGGTAAAGACACTGAACACTGGTAGTTCGGTCCGAGGTTTGAATCCCGCGAACGGGCTGGCTGCATGGGCGTTTTCGTCGTTTTCCCCATGTGTAACGTGTATACGAGCCAGTTTCCCTTAGAAAATCCTCCACGAAAGCATTCCACCCTTTACGCAGATAGCCCTCGTGTGCTTTGCCATAATTAAATAATCCAATCCAATCCATCCAATCATAACAATAAAACATGGATAAGAAACCCTTTCACATGTAAAATAAAATCATAGACGGAAATATTGGATTAAAATATTGAATCCATTATTGAATTGTCTTGTGATGTAGTACTTAAATACAACTTCGTCCAAATACAGTTGATAGATTTTGGCTGTCCTGTAGTCAACAGTATTTTTTTCTGCCAAAAATGGCAATTAAGCTT